TATCACGTTCAAAGTTCTGGCCTTTTTAATTTTCCTGTTCTGTACTGTTGCTGTGGAGCTTGACATGCTTAAGCACATTTGCTTTTGTTTCCTGGGAACAAGGGGTTTGGCCCTTGTTATTAATTTGAGAGTTGAGCGTGTAGTTTTGCTTGTCGTTGTGTTTTTCCTAAACTCTCCACTAAAAAATGGTGGAGAGAGAGTTTTTTTTTTTTATATAGAGATTTTTTTAAAGAAATATAAAGAAAACTTTTTTCTTACTAAGCAAATCACTCTTGGGCTTCTAACAAAAGTTGTAGAGCTCATCAAGATGCATTTAATAGTGGTAGAACACTGGTGGTTCTTGAGAAATCTTTAAAAAACTTTTTGCCGACATATAAAATTTCTTAAGAAATTTTATATGTTAGCGAAATGTTTTTTAAAGATTTCTCAAGAACCACCAGGCCGATTTTAGTGTTCTGCCACCATTAGATGCATCTTGATGAGCTCTACAACTTTTGTTAAAAGCCCAAGATAGTAAGAAAAAAGTTTTAGAAGAAATCTCTTTACATTTGGCTTAATTCTCTCCAGATGATAGATGAATTGTCTATTAATTGATTAGCCAACTAATTGATTAGTTGAATAAAAACCGATTAATTGATTAGTTGGATAAAATGATCTATCAACTAATCGATTGAAAAATTTTTATTGATTTGTATCACTAATTAAAGATGGGCTACACTAAAGATAGGTATTTTTAGTATTGGTTCTTATATAGAAGGTGGCTTTGATAAGATCTATATGGGCCTTCTGATTATATATAAGCTTTCTTTTTTCTTTTAATTTTCTGTTTTTTTTGAATACAACTGTGATAAAAGGAGTATTATCATTAGTTGTATTAGTGGTGTTAAGAGCTGTTGAATCATCTTGATATTCTATTTCTATTTGAGATATAGTATTTGTAGTGGCAACAGGAGTTGCAAGTACTGCTTCTGTTTTTTCTATTGGGTTAGAAGAGTCTGTGGAATTGTTAAGGTCTGTCTCTATTGCAGTTTCTGGTAGCTGTTCTATTGAAGAATCTTCTGGTTTTTCTGGTAATTCTGTAATTGGGTTGTTACCTACAACTTTCTGATTAATATATGGATTGTTTTAACTAAAATCGATTTCTGGGAGGCCAGAACTCTTAGTTTTTGCTTTTTCTTGTTGTTCTTTGGTTTCTTTTAATAATCTTCTTGTCTCTATTGAAGCTTTAAGCTCTTTGCAGTCTCTTTTAGTGTGACCTTTCTTGTCACAATAAAAGCAAACCTTGGGGCTTCTTTTTACTCTATAAAAACTTTGTAATTACTAATATATATACTTCTTGATAAATGTGAGGCCAGATTCGGGTCTTCTGTGGTCTCGAAAGTAACTAACAATTGATCAGTACAGATCATAGTGCTTTCAAAAAGAAGAGGCTTAATCAAGGTTATTTGTTCAATATTCCAGAATGCTACTAAGATATTGTCACTAATGTGATTGGTGTTACCTATTGGGGTGTTTTTGAGCTTGATAGTAAGAAAAGAGCAATTGAGAATAAAAGGAATATATCCAAAGAAGATTTGTTTAAATAGAAAAATTCTTTTTGCTGCATAGTGTTGAACTTTCTCTTTGTTCTTCAGAATGATTTTTAAGAAGACTCCTTTTCCTCTTGACATATGTGTTTTTGCCACAATTAAAATTTCCTCTAAGGATACAGCTAAGGCTACAATTATCAATATTGCAAAGATTTTATATGTTCAGAATGAGAGCATTTTCATTTTTGGAGTGAACTTGTTGTTTGGAAGTAGATCTTATATATGCTGCTTTTTCTTTTTTAAACTTAGCAAAGAGATTGGACCACTGTTTTGGTTTTATTTCTGGGTTGTGAGTCCTTTTGTTAGTATCTTGTTTGGGGTATCTGCATCACTGTGAGTTGAGTCCTCTGATTGGCTATTGTTAGACACATGTCAAGAGGAAAAGGAGTCTTCTTAAAAATCATTCTGAAGAACAAAGAGAAAGTTCAACACTATGCAGCAAAAAGAATTTTTCTATTTAAACAAATCTTCTTTGGATATATTCCTTTTATTCTCAATTGCTCTTTTCTTACTATCAAGCTCAAAAACACCCCAATAGGTAACACCAATCACATTAGTGACAATATCTTAGTAGCATTCTGGAATATTGAACAAATAACCTTGATTAAGCCTCTTCTTTTTGAAAGCACTATGATCTGTACTGATCAATTGTTAGTTACTTTCGAGACCACAGAAGACCCGAATCTGGCCTCACATTTATCAAGAAGTATATATATTAGTAATTACAAAGTTTTTATAGAGTAAAAAGAAGCCCCAAGGTTTGCTTTTATTGTGACAAGAAAGGTCACACTAAAAGAGACTGCAAAGAGCTTAAAGCTTCAATAGAGACAAGAAGATTATTAAAAGAAACCAAAGAACAACAAGAAAAAGCAAAAACTAAGAGTTCTGGCCTCCCAGAAATCGATTTTAGTTAAAACAATCCATATATTAATCAGAAAGTTGTAGGTAACAACCCAATTACAGAATTACCAGAAAAACCAGAAGATTCTTCAATAGAACAGCTACCAGAAACTGCAATAGAGACAGACCTTAACAATTCCACAGACTCTTCTAACCCAATAGAAAAAACAGAAGCAGTACTTGCAACTCCTGTTGCCACTACAAATACTATATCTCAAATAGAAATAGAATATCAAGATGATTCAACAGCTCTTAACACCACTAATACAACTAATGATAATACTCCTTTTATCACAGTTGTATTCAAAAAAAACAGAAAATTAAAAGAAAAAAGAAAGCTTATATATAATCAGAAGGCCCATATAGATCTTATCAAAGCCACCTTCTATATAAGAACCAATACTAAAAATACCTATCTTTAGTGTAGCCCATCTTTAATTAGTGATACAAATCAATAAAAATTTTTCAATCGATTAGTTGATAGATCATTTTATCCAACTAATCAATTAATCGGTTTTTATTCAACTAATCAATTAGTTGGCTAATCAATTAATAGACAATTCATCTATCATCTGGAGAGAATTAAGCCAAATGTAAAGAGATTTCTTCTAAAACTTTTTTCTTACTATCTTGGGCTTTTAACAAAAGTTGTAGAGCTCATCAAGATGCATCTAATGGTGGCAGAACACTAAAATCGGCCTGGTGGTTCTTGAGAAATCTTTAAAAAACATTTCGCTAACATATAAAATTTCTTAAGAAATTTTATATGTCGGCAAAAAGTTTTTTAAAGATTTCTCAAGAACCACCAGTGTTCTACCACTATTAAATGCATCTTGATGAGCTCTACAACTTTTGTTAGAAGCCCAAGAGTGATTTGCTTAGTAAGAAAAAAGTTTTCTTTATATTTCTTTAAAAAAATCTCTATATAAAAAAAAAAAACTCTCTCTCCACCATTTTTTAGTGGAGAGTTTAGGAAAAACACAACGACAAGCAAAACTACACGCTCAACTCTCAAATTAATAACAAGGGCCAAACCCCTTGTTCCCAGGAAACAAAAGCAAATGTGCTTAAGCATGTCAAGCTCCACAGCAACAGTACAGAACAGGAAAATTAAAAAGGCCAGAACTTTGAACGTGATA